CGCTGCTTTCACAATGACTCGCAGCCACCCGGCCCCACGGCGCCCTTTCCTGCTGAGCTCGGGTCCCCGATGCCCACCCAGCCCCACGTACGGCCCCTGCCCAGAACGCTCGCAGTGGTGGATCCTCTATGCTCCCCAGCTGGCACCAAGGCTGTGGACAATGTCGTGCGTGCGGCCACGCTCAGGTGCACACAAGGGCACCCACCCTGTGCTGTTGGACGAGGTTTTATTCCCAGGCTGTTTCTCCCAAGCCGGCCGGTCTCCATGGCCAGGCGCAGGTGGGTGGGCGATGGGAGCTGAGCACCCTGCACCTCCCTGGCCTCTCTGTGCGCGCTCGCTCGGCGTGCGTGGGTGCCTGCGACTAAGTGTACTGCGAAAGTGCTGAGCTGGTGCGAACCCGCCGGCCCCAGTGCCTCCACTGCAGCCCTTCCTGGCAGCCACGGCCAGGCTCTGCGTGGGCCGGCGCCCATCCCTGCGGCCTTGGGGCTCTGTTCCCATGTGCCTGCAGGGGCGCCAGTGCCCCTGGGAACCACGGCGGCTCCCACCTCTGCCCACGAAGCAGCGCGCGAGGCTGGCGGTGCACGCTGGCTGCGAGCGCTGCTTCCCACCCCATGCAGGTGCCGCAGGCAAGGGCTGGATCAGCACGTCTTGCCCCGGGCTGTGCTGAGTCGGCGGCGCAGCAGGAATAGCCCCCAGCAGCTGCAGTCAGTGCCCGGCACTTCCTTCCTGCCTCCCATCGCTGCGGTCGGCAGCTCCGTGGGCACCGTCACCCCACGGCCATCCTGCATCCCAGCCCTCTGCCCCGGCAGCCTCCCCCGTGGAGCACCCTGGTCCATGCACATCCAACTGGGACCCCAGCGTGGGGCAGCTGCGGCCCCACAGCCCTCTGGCTTGTGCTGCCTGCTGCAAAAGTGCCCAGAGCCGCCGTCCCTGTGGGGAAACTGAGGCGCGGGGAGGCGGGTGACTCAATCCCGGCACAGGGAGTCCCTGGGGCCAGGCAGCAGAGCCGGCAGCGCCGCTGCGGGGCCGTGCGTGCTGCAGCAGGCGGCTCTGCGTGTGCACACGGCTGCGGGAGCGATGGGCAGCTTGGGGGCTGCACCGCGTCCTGCACGGCTCCCTGCGGGCTCTGCAGAGACGGACGGCCCTGTCCCCGCTCCCTGCGCCCGTGCAGCCGTGAGCGGCCCCGCACACAGGCACAGCGAGGGGCCGTACGCGCAGCACAGGAGGCCGCAGCGAAGCGCAGGCCTGAGGCTGGGTGACGGGCGCACGCTGGCGCGGGGCCGTGCGTGCAGCAGGGCTGCCCTCTGCTGCCGCTGCAGTGCTCAGCACCTGGCTGCACCGGGGCTGCCAGCGCCACTGCCCAAACCGCTGGCAGCGTGGAGGGGACAGAGCGGAGGGTGGCACGGGACCCCCGGGGCCAGCTCTGCCCGTGCCAGGGGGGCAGCAGAGGGACTGGGAGCTGCAGGAAGCTGCACGGGGAACCCGATCGCTCCCTGTCCTCCTGTTCCAAGGCAGCGGTGTGCTGGCTGCGAGCAGGGTCGCCCAGGGCTTTCCCAGAGCAAGTTCCTAGGTTTCTGGTGCCTTAGGCAGCATGTCCTGACCCTCGGAAGCACCGTGCTGCAAATGAGCTCAGTGATGGTTAAAGAGAGAGAAAACGTAATGGGGCCACGTGTGGAGCGGCCGCGGGCTGAGGGCTCTGCTCGGCCCTGCTGGGAGCGCCGGTGCTGCGGGAAGCGCCAGTGTTGCAGGAAGCGCCAGCCCCGCGGATGCTCTCCCAGCTGCTGCGGGGATGGACCCGGGGGCTCTGCAGCCAGGAACGATGTCCTGGTGCCCCGGACTGGAGCGGCGGGAGCCACAGGCCAAGGGCACCCCGTGGGGGCTGCGGAGCCGCCCCAGGCACTGCACAGCCCTCGGCCCTGCTCCTCCGCATTCCTGCTGGCAGAGGCAGTGGCAGGCGCTCCAAGGGGCCGATTTTCCCTAATTTGGCAGCGGAGCGCGGCAGCTGTTCCTAATAAAAGCGCTTCCCGCAGCCAGGCCTGTTGCCGTGGTTACCGCGGGCTATTTTTGCCCTGTCTGGGTGCAGGGGCACCCAGAGCTGCTGTGTGGGGCTGGGCTCCCGTAGCTGCAGCCCCTCGCTGCGAGGGGACATTGGAGTGGCTGGGGACGACGCGGGACAGGGACGAGCCGGGACTGGCAGTGGTTCCTGATGCAGTTTTGGGCCTCCCTTCCCTCCCTGCTGGGGCAGGATGTGTGGCCGTGAGTCCCAGGCGCATCCGACCCCTGCACCGCTGCCGCCGTCCCCTGGCGCAGGTGGCAGTTGGTGCCGCTTGTGCCTTGGCCCCGAGCAGCCCTAGGGAAGGGAGGACGGGAGGAGGGAACGTTTCTGCCTGGGGTCCCGTCTCTGCAAGCGGCTCCGTGTTCCTGCGGGGCTGCCGAGGGGAGCGTGAGCGGCCGGGCTGGGGGCAGCACCCGTCGATTCCTCCCTTGGGAAGGGCTTTTCCCGCACACGACTGCTCCTTCTCCCCGTGGCTCCGGTGAGGGATGGGACGGAGGCCAGAGGGGCGCCAGGCTCAATCCGGCCTCGCGCTCCCTCCTTCCCTGCAATCCCGGGAAAACAAAGAGGAGGAGGAGCCCCCGCGGTGCCCCCCCTGCGGGAAGGGCGGGAATGCTGGGCTGGAGCAGGGCAGCGGTGCAGATGCTTCTCCCTTCCGGGGCTGGAGCAAAGCCCTCGGTGCACAAGGGGCGCGAGCACCATTAAAAACAGCCGTGTTCGTCCCTCACAGCGTGGAGCCCCTAGGAGCCAGCGCCGCTCCGCGTCTCCCCATGGAAAACGGCTCTGCACGTCAAGGTCACCTTGCCGCCCTCACCCAGGACCACAATGCTCGTGTTAACACGTCTCTAATTTAATCAGGACGCCCTATGGGACACCCAGCTCGCGACTGAGCCGTCCCGCTTCCCTCTCCCAGGGCAAAAATTGGTCTGGGATCTCAGGTGGCACCCGAGTGCCCCCGTCCCTGCTGTCCTCGGGGCACTGAGGGGCTACAAGGTGATATAGTGTGCTCAATTAAAACATCAACCTTTGTTGTCAGCTAGAGAGCTGTTATGTTAGAGTTTAACATAAAAAAAAAAAAAAAAAAAAAAAGCTTCAAATCGGGAAACAAATGATTTGCACAAAATGTTGCAGTGCCTTATCCTGCTATTTGCAGCTTCACCCTGTTTTAAGTTACTGCTCTAATATTTTGAGTGTGAAACACCTTTTACTGCAAAACATCTCAGCTATACTCAAGTACCAGCTGATGGTATTAAAAACATATTATAATAATTATTAATGCTGTTAATTTCTTCTCTGTGCTGGAAAATTAATTATTTTTTAAATGATTGTAAAAGTAAGGAGGCCCTAATGGTAACAGATATATATCCTTCTCAATAGCTGTATTTTTAACGTGTCTGCAAGTACCCCAGCTACAGCCGGTCACGCAGGGCCGCACCACGAGCCGCCGGTACCTGGCAGGACGGATATCTTTAACAGGGAACCCAAAACGTGCAACTTTCCCATGCAAAAGCTGTACCCGGGGGTACCAAAACAGCTATTTTTGTGCATGGCCCTCTGATAACAGGAAAAGTGCAGAACGGAGGATGTTCTGCATTTCAGAATGACTATACCCGCCTGTGTACAAAACAAAACCTCTTCCCCTATAGATCCCCAACACAGGATGTGCAATGGGGAGGAAAAGCCCGATCTCCTCCCCCAGGGAGCAGAGCGGGAGCATTCCCAGCGTTTATACAACAGCAGCGGCCGGAGGCGCCGCATTCCACTGTGGCTCCCTTTAGTCCTTGGTGCTCCCTAGGAAATCAATGGCGTTTTTAGGGGGGATTTAAAGCCAGCCCTGGTCTGAACAGGGACGGGGCCTTTCTGTGCTCTGACACAGGCTGCTTTGGGGCGAGGGAGGCAGCGGAGGGTGGTGGGAGACGCGGACACGCTAGGACGCGCCGGGAGGCCGGGATGCACTGTGGGCTTCAGGCAGAATTCCGCATTATTTTCCTTGCTCTGTGGAGCAGGGGCTGACAAGGAGCCCATCCTGGCGTCGCTTCTGCCTCGTCCTCCTGCCCGCTGCAATCAGGGAAGCTGCGGCTGGGGCAGGAAGGGGCTGCAGGACCAGCGGTGATTTCAGCCCGTTTCAACCCAGCGCAGCCCTTCCAGAAATCCATTATCTGTGCCAGAGCTTCCCGCTTGACCCGGGGTTTTTAATGAAGATACACTCAGAAAAATACCAGCGGGGGCTTTTAGACGCTTAAACGGTAAGCGGGCTGAGCAGAACCCTTTACTTATTTGTTTATTTCCCTCATAAAACTGGTCTCGCTTGGGAGCCCGTGGCAGGGCGGCTCTGTGGATGCCTCGCACCCTGCTCACTGCCAGGCACGGCGGTGGTGGCGCCAGCCGCACGCCCCACAAGAGGCGGCCGCTTCCGCGGAGCGATGATGATGCCCCGCGCTGCCAGGGACCCGTCGTCCCCGACCCCCGAGCGCCGCTCCAGCCACCCAGTCCGGCCGCGCAAGATGGCGGCAGCCTCTGAGGTTGCCCCTTTGTCTGCAGCGGCCGCCGCATTGCCGCTAAGGGCGCGAAACTGGGGCAGCGCGGCCACGCCCCCTCCCGCCGCGGGGCGGGGCGCGAAGCGCCGCCAGCCAATGGGCAGCCTCCACTTCAGTTTCTCTCACAGGGGCTCTCGCGCCCGGCGTGCTGCGGGCGCTCATCCAATCAGAGGCGCTCCCCACGCCCCACCCCCACGTGGGAGCGAGGGCGGGGCGGGGGGGGGATGCAGCAGTTTTGTTTCCTCTATTCCCTCCCCTCTCCCGTGTTAGTGTCTCATGAATATTAATAATCCCCGCCCAATCAAACGGCGGCACCTCGGCGGTGCCGTGCTCTCGTCACCCGCCCCGCCCTGCGGCGGGCTTATCTAAATATTCATGAGAGGGGCGTGGTTCGGCGCAGGGGTTTATAAGGCGCCGCCCCGCCAGCCGCGGCGTATATCGCGCTGAGACTTTGAAGTGGCGTGTAGACGTTCCCGCTTTAGAGCACCGGTAAGGAGCGTCCGGGACGGCGGCAACGCGGCCGTGTCAGGCTGCGCTTGGGGTGCCTTACTGGCGCGTGATGCGCTTGGAAGCAGCGTGTTCGCTGCCTAGGAGGGCCTTGAATCACCGTGCCAGTCCCACGGCGTTGCTGCTCGCTCGGGTTGTGCAGCGTGCGCGGCGAAGCCGCCCTGGCCGCTCGCTCTGCGCGTGCGGTGCAGAGGGGAACGGCTGGAGAGGTGAAATCCGCGCTCAGAAACAAAATGGCGACTCCCCTCAGCGGTGCAAAATGGCGGCAGGCGGGAGGAGGGGCGTCGTAGCGCGCCTGCGCCAAGAGGGCGGGTCGCGGGGGGTGGGGCGGCCTCGGGAGTGAGGGTCTGCGGGGGGGGTCTCTCTGTGGCGCGCATGCGCCCTGCGGCCACGGCCGCCTGCACCCGAGGGGGCCGGGGCCGCCCCCTGGGTCCCCCCGCCGGGCGCCCGGGGGTCCTGCCCTGAGCCCTGGGTGAGGGGCTGCACGCGGGTCCTCCCCGCTGCGGCCTCCCGAGAGAAAGCCCTTCCGTAGGAGCCATGTGCGCGAGGCTCCTCCGTGTACGGGTGTGCGTTCAGTGCCGGGCGCGATGCAGCAAACTCTAGGCTTTGCAAGTATGTTTTTGGTTAATGATGATATATTGGCTTTGCAGGACAAAATGGCATCTGATGAAGGAAAACTCTTCATTGGTGGTCTGAGTTTCGACACTAATGAGCAGCAATTGGAACAAGTCTTTTCTAAATACGGACAGATCTCTGAAGGTAAGATCACAATAACGAGCAGTAGTGACTTCCGTGAATTTTGTAGTTTTTTTCATAGATACTGATGTTATTTTTTTCTTTTTAGTCGTTGTAGTGAAAGACAGAGAGACTCAAAGATCCAGAGGCTTTGGCTTTGTTACTTTTGAAAATATAGACGATGCTAAAGATGCAATGATGGCTATGAATGGAAAGGTAAGGAGCCTTTGGAATACCTCGGGGAATAAGAGAAGTCAGCAGTGTGTGTCCCTGTGCAGGGAAATAACTTGAAAAAAGTAATTTAAGTTACTGAAGTTCTGTAGAATTGTATAGAGGAGGGGGGAAGATAGAGCAAATACACTGGAAGGCAACTGACTTAGTTGTAGCAAGCTATAGCATAGTTGTAATATTGAATAAATGATTTATTTGTGCAAGTTAGTAATTCTTGGTACTACCTAGCTGAGAATTGGGTGTGTAATTCTTTGTCTGCTTTACTGTCAACTATTGAAATGCCACATTGATGTATTTCTTTTTTCTGACTTCAGTCTGTAGATGGACGTCAGATCAGAGTTGATCAGGCTGGAAAATCATCAGAGAACAGATCTCGTGGATACAGAGGCGGGGCTTCGGGGGGCAGAGGCTTTTTCCGTGGAGGCAGAGGTCGGGGCCGTGGCTTCTCCAGAGGTGAGGAAGTGTCAAAGATGGGTGCTCATTGATAGGGTGAGGGAAATTTGCAGCATGCTGGTGGAAACTTTTGTCTGTTGAAGGAGGTGGAGACAGAGGCTATGGCGGAAGCAGATTTGATTCCAGAAGTGGAGGTTATAACGGTTCCAGAGACTACTATAATAGCAGGTACAGTCACTGCAGATAGTTGGATGTTTTTTGTAGAGCACTTTGTCTCTTTGGCAAATTATTAAAAAAAAGAAATCAGTAGGCTCCAGTGGGAGATGAACAAATATAACACGTATGAATGTGTTCTTAACAGCAGGAGTCAAGGTGGTTACGGTGACAGATCTTCAGGAGGATCCTACAGAGACAGCTATGACAGTTACGGTAAGTCTTAGTTCAAATGGGAATGATGTGTACATTGCTGTAGGAGCTCTCTAAACCTTCTGACCCTGTCTTGAAGTCTGGAAGTACTGTAAGGCTCAGTTGGACTGTACCACTGTTTCTGTTCTTGCCTGTAAGAACCAATCTGTCAAGCCTCGGATGTGGTTGTGCCGTTTAAATTTCTAATTTGTAATGCATGTGTAGGAGTTGCTTGGATCTAAGGCAAAGCAAGTTTTTAACTACATTCCTCGAGCTTGAGACTAAGACAAACCTCAGGTACCCTAACAAGCTTTAATCAAGGGTGGGGGAGTTCTCTTAAGCCATAGTGAACTAGCATTAGCTTCTGAAATAATGCAAGGGAGTAAAATGCTGGAACTTGTCTATGCTTCAGTGCCTTTACAATTGTGCCTGCTTCTTGTCCTCAGCTACACACAACGAGTAAAAATCCTTCCTGACTCAAGATCGTCCTTCCAATGGCTGTATTTATAAAGATTTTTGGAGCTTCGCTGAAATCGTTATTGTGTAGTACATCTACTTGTATTTTCACTTTTGTAGTATTATCAGTTCTAATCTTGTCAAACACAGCCTGACAGCTTCTGCTATGAGATGGTCTAATTAGACTTTTCTTTAAGAAAGCTCTGCTTTCAAGTGTTTTTAATCTTTTTTGAAAGCACTTCAGATTTTATTTTATCCTTCATGATGAGCCAAGGTGTTTTTTTAAAGTTGTGAAGTTGGGGCCCCAATTCAGTTTCTTTCGAGATAGAAAGGACCTTTAATTCAATGTTCACTGGAAGCTGAACAAGCTGTGGACTCTTTTTTCTTTTTTTTTTTTCTTTTTTTAAGTGCATTACCTTCGTCTTTTGTAACATTCCTTTAGTGTAGCAAGGTAGGAATGCAGCCTGGGTACAAATTGGAAGGCAAACCACCTTGATATATCTAAAGAGAAACTTGCTTGTATGTTCAAGTTGCATAACGGTATTTTTACTGTTGTAATGATGTAAATTACCCAGAAATAGACTTGCAAACTTACCATAAAAGAGGTTCTTGAAAATGTTTATTTATATTGTCCTTTTTTACTGGAAGAAATATGCATATTCCATTGATATTGTATTTGAAGTGGTAAAGGATTCTTGTATACAGTTTTCTTTGGCTTTACGAAGCCTATTAAAAGACCGTCTGAAATGAACTCTGCTCCTGACATTTACATTTCATTGCACAACACAGTCCTTGAAGAATAGACTAAGTAATAGAGGATGTCAGAGGAGAGACAATTGCTGATAGTATTAGAGCAAAACAGATTGATGAGTCGCTAGAACTTAATCTGAAGCAGTCTTGACATGCGAATATCTTAAGCATATTTTCACGTAGAGTAGTGAAACTTGTGTAGAGGCAGATTGTTGAAAGTAAAAATACCTTAGGGTATTTGGTACTTGAAGCCTGAGCCAGCAAAGTTGAAGGGAATGCCAGCTGGCTGGTTAGGATAATCAATGTTTCCTTAAAATAAAGCAGACATGGAAAAGCTGTAGTAAAGAATCAGTCCTTTGGTACCTGGACTAGTTACTGGCTTGACACGGTGTTCAATGGTAGGTAAATTGCCGTAATTAGCTAGCTTTGTCGTTGCTTACAAGTTCTAAGAATTCTTTGCTAGCATATGGAAACTGCAGTGTCCTTGGAGAAAAGAAGTGTTGTGCCTCCAACAGAAACCTCTGAGACGAAAGCTGCTCTCTTGGCTAGTTCATATGTGGAAATAGTCCTGTAATTCGAGGTAACTCCTTTTGCTCATGTCCGCATCCTTCCTCTTGTTGAGAGCTCATTTGAAAGTCTAATGTACCTGTGAAATATTCCTTTGACAATTTTGGTCAACTGATGGAAAAATTTTAACCCATGCCGTATGCAATCTTTGGCTTGTGGCACAACTTCAGTTCCACAGATCAGAGTTGGGCATGCAGTCATGTCTTGCTAGTAGGTATGGAAGCAAGATGGGAAACCGAATTCCCTGACTTGATATGTGTTCATCTATTTGAGACTCTTTCTAGACTTCATTAAGTTGCTCACTTTTTTAATTGTAGCTTTCTTTGCCATCCTACTTGTTGCCATTAACTTTTTCCCATAGCCCACACTTCCTAAGCAGCCATGTCAAAGTGGTTAACACTCTGCTTAGGGATCAATGATAGATTGGCTGGCATATCAAAGGCATCAGCCAGCCCCGGAACAGTTTTCCCAGACTGTGCTTCTGTGATGTGATGGGTTCAGCGAATGGCTTGTGAAACCCTCGTTTATGATGTGACTTGTGTTGGGGGGAGGTGGGGAACGATGCACACCCTCTGCTTGATATTATTAATAATGCATATTTGCTTTGGCAGGCTGAAGAGAAGATGGACATTCAACGTGGAAGCTGAACAGGAAACCTGAGAAAGGAGTGCGTTCCTTCTAAGGGAGCTGTATTGAGACTTGAGCCCACCAAGCAGGTAAATGCCTTTGTCCAGTCTGCTCCTCAACCTGATTTTTTCCTGAACTGTAAGATTTGGTCAACTGCTGTTTTAACAGTGCTGTTCTATGTTTGTGTTCAGTGTTTCCTAGATGAGAATTTCGCATGTTCTTTTTCTGTAAATTAAATACACATTTTTAACTTTATTTCAGCATTGAGATGCATCGGAGAAGACCAAGAAGGACAGATACTGACTGGAGTGGAGAAGAAATTTGAGCAATGTTGTTACCAATTTTTTATATATAGACCAATGGAGCAAACAAGTGAAAATAGAATAAAATAGCAGTATATGGAATCAAAACTGAATCTCTGTAATACTTTTGTGGGAAAAACATAAGAATAGTATGTTGTGGCCCAGTTGTACAATAGAAATAGTTATTTGGAGTGTTGCCTAGGCTAAATTATTTTAGAAAAAAGTTGTTTTGATGGGGAGGTGCATAGAAACTGTACCCTGTCATTGCTGGCAAGCTTGAGATAAGAATTTACATCCTTGTGCCCTTGAATTAAGTGTGCTAGTTGCATTGCTTTTGTATGCGCAAAATTCTAATGAAGGAAGTACATCTGAATACTGTTAGATAAGCAGTTCCATAAAGATGGAAATGGTATTGCTTTTTCTAAAAACAAAGTTGCTTTTGCCAGTTGAAATAGTAAAGCTTAAATACAAATGTTTAATTGGCGTTTGAATGCCCAAGTTGTTTTGGGCTTGAGCAATGAATGAGCTGTTTTCATGCCTAACAGTTTAATTAAACATAATGTGTTTTGTTGTGAAATGTGATGTTCCTGTGACCCACTACAATGGGAATGAGGAAAAGCAGCAGATGAGTTTTGGGGTGCACTTGTGGTTGCACGGTCTTGCAAGTGGGCTTGGGTTGGTGGTAAGTAGCAACAGCAACTGGTTTCACTTTGGGAAGATGAGGTGAGAGGACGAGCACGGAGCTGCCAGCAGAGCTAGGGCTAGAGCAGCCCAGGCCTAGCAGTTTGAAGCCTTAAAACCTCAGCATGTTTGTATGTAGCTAATACACTCCAGATGTCTGCATAGTATAAATACACAATCAGCCTCAGCTTGAGTGCAGAAACCATCATTTGGAAAGTCAGTTTTGTATTTTTTCTGTGGTGTAGCATGGCTAATAAAATACTCGTCATCTTTCCTAAATAGGAGATGTTGCCATTCTGTATATGAAGAATTTTTTAAAATGCGTTTACACCACATCCTGCTCTCACTGACTTGTAATGAAGTAGATGAGAGCTGATGGCCACAGAATTCCTTGGGTTTGTCCTCTACTCCGTCTGCTGGCCTCATGTTACGGGATCCCAGCACTGGGGTGCCTCTTTTCCAGTGCATCCCACTAATTCAAGCTGTTCTTGAGGGTGCTGTCTTTGATAGGTGATACCTGTGTCTTGTCATGCTACACTAGGGAGTGGAAGCTGCTTAAATTACTCTAATTTCCACTACGTCGTCTCACTGATCACAAGTGTCTCCGTCAAAATGCCTGTTCATTCTGGGACCTTTAGCTGCCCCGCCAGCCTTGCTCCTTGGTCTTAAATTGATTTGATGCAGGCATCTGATGCTTGTGAAAAATGAGGTCTTATTTTTCTGTTAAATCCCCTGAATGTGCCAGCTCAACAGGAAGAAGGATTTGCACTGGCATGGCGGCTGGAATGTGCAGGGTATTTCTAGCAGCTTGGAGGAGAAGGAGGCAGGGTTCTGGTGCAATGAGATGAACTGATGGCCCTTGCTGCTGTGGTGCGTGTCCTTGCTGTGCTGAGAGAAGAACAGGTTTTGTCTCTCCATCCCGCACCTCTATGTGCGGGTCTCACCCAGCTGCTCGGGCTGCTGTGGTGGGAAGGGGCCCTCGCAGCGCAGCCTCTCGCCCCACTGAGGCTCCGGAGGTGGTGGTTATAATGGTGGCTATTGTGCTCCTAACAATGGGGAATGGGGCTGCGAGGGCAGCAGGGCCTGCCCTGCGTGTCCAAGCGCCCAAGGCTGCCGGATGGAGGGATGGGTTCCTGGGAATGGCCTGGGTGTCCGGAGGGACAGGCCCTTGGGAATGTTGCCCTGCCGGCGCTCAGCCCGCTCTCCGTTCCCGTTCTCGTGGGGTGCTCGGCTCTGCTGCGGGCCCCATCACTGCAACGAGGGGCAAGGTGTTTGGGGGGAGGGGGGCAGAAATGGACACCAAGGCCGGGGAGATTCCTGCTCTGAGGGGGAACAGCTGCTGTGAGGAGCGAAATGGCGGCCTGGGGGGGG